GGTACAGTACCTCGATCAACAATGACCCGAGTTTCAATTATGAGGTTCATAAACCTGTAACAATATTTTAGAATATGTCAGGTCGATGATTCTAAGCCATAACCTAACCAAAAATTTTTATCTCTATTTTAGTATTTCAGATTTGGCTGATCGATTTATTTAATTATAAAATTTTTCTTGTTTCTTTTGCCGTGGGAAGATTAAATGATTAACTATCAATCAGTTTCTATTTATAAGACTATTGCTAAAATAGGTAAAATACTATGATGATTACTATTATGTACGCGTATCGGTATTTTGCGGATCACTTCTTCCTTGTCAACTTTATTTATTACTTTCCCACTTCATAATAATTTATTACTTTCCCACTTCATTGTTCTTTCTTATTTGTCTGATTATTATATGGATTGTAGAAACTAACTAAATTTGCATGGTTAAATATATGTCACATGACATTCAGCCGTTAACCTGTGCAAATTTAGTTTCAGTCGAAATGATTCTAACGAGTTCGTCAGGGTGACCACCAAAAGTACGGGCACATGAGAAGACGCCACAGCCACAGCCACTGCATAATTTCTTAGAAACTTTATTGTTGTGAATATGTAACAAAGCAATATAAGATATGGCTGTGGCGATAATTCAGATAATGTGAACCCGTACTTTTTGGTCCTGGCGAACTCATTCTAACCGGTTAACCAATTTATCGTATTTTTGCGTTATTTTAAGCACCTACGCGTTATATATGTGCGCGAATCATTTTATACCGAACATATTATATTCGGTATGACAAATATATAGATAGTATTAGCTATATATGCAAATCTAATTAGATTCAGATGCAGTGAGCTCGCGTTATTTTAAGGGGTATTATCTTAAGTCAAATATGCAATTTTCAAACCGGTAGGAATTTCAAAATAACGCCTATGTTCATTATTACGCGAAATATGTAATGTTCTTTTTTTGATATATCATTAGATATCAAAAAGGACAATACAACAGTTAGTCTGTTAGAATTATTACTTTTGTTCCAATATGAGTAAAAGTCTCGAGTTATTTCGATAACAAAAAAAAAACTTCAGAAATAGTTCCCGTGTTTCAAGGTTATGCCTGTATTAAATTCTTAGATGGCCACTCGAGGGAAGAATATTTTTTGATACACTTCCATTACCACTTGCTGACACATCATCTTCTGGGGTATAAAAAATATATTGATTAGTTTACCTCTGCTCACCTGTTAATTGGCGCCTACTAAAGAAATTTGATTGCTTCAAGATTAAAGTACTGTGCCGTTAATATATGGGGTAGAGTCAATCAAATTTTTTCTAAGTAAATTTTTTTTAAACTTTAAACAATAATAACTCAATAAAAACTTAATCAAATTTAATCAAAATTTTTTTAAAAAAAAATTATTAAATTTGATCAAGTTTCGGTTAAGTTATTAATGTATAAAGTTTTAAAAAAAATTCAATAAAATAATTTGCTTGATTTCTATTAAAAAAGTATAACTTGATATTGAGTTTTTATTTGCATTACTTCGTGATCAATCTAATCTAATCGTATCAATAAAATAAAATAACTGTATTTTAATTATAATTCTTTATAGTAATTAAATTTATTAGAAACATGTTTGCGTAATTCGAAGATTTAGAAACTTAATATGTATTTTATACAGTATATATGATTTTAAATTAAATGCAAAATCTAATAGTTAAGAACATGAGCTAAAACTGAGTATAAATGACTAAAATTGCTATAAAATGCAATGCCCTGAATAGCTCATTTTATGTTAAAAAAAAAACATAACACCACACACCCCACACTAAATAAAAAAAAAAATTACAATTACATATCAACTATAAATACACGTACCCAATCGCCGAGATAAAATACAAAAATATCCTACAAAACATATCATGGGGGTTTTTGTTTTATAAAATACATGTTATAATACACTTGGTAATTTCATTGAAATAGAGCTTTGTACAGGTGAAATTGGTGACGAAGGTGGTGTGCATCCTATGGGAGATATTTCATCCGCAACCGATGATTGTGGATTATCACCGTATGTTCTTGTCCATTTATCTATTTCAAAAAAAAAACATATAATGTATAATGACTATGATTATAAAAAAAGGTTAGTTTATATTTATACTACCTGGTATCGCCAAAAAATATTGTTCTATTGAATCTCGGAATCTATCTTTATATTGATCTGGCGGTATTACCGTAACTTCTTTTGCGTTACGACCAAGCGTTTTTCCACGAGATTCAATCTTTTTATACAAAGTATATTCTCCAATAAAATCTGAATATATATTAATAAATGCCATTAGCATAACACTATATGGTTAGTTAATTGCTTAAACTCAATAAAAAAAAAAAAAAACACTTACCGACAATTCCTGCAATCATTTCCTTCTTTTTATCATCAATTCCAAGGAGTAATGAATAATCCATAATATTTGCCTCGCACAAGAATTGTGTATCATTGGCTATAGCCTCTCTAAGAAGTTTTTTGCCATAAGAATATGTCAAAAATTTTGATTTATACCGACCTGTGATTTCATTGAATATCAGATTAAATTTGATGT